TTTGAATTCATTATGATTATTGTGTGTAGTAGGTGTTTTCGATTTCGTGAAATCGAATGAGATTCTAGTTTAACTTGTGTTAAGTTGTTGTGGAATTGGAACATATCGAGTCCTTGTTATTATGGTGAAGACCTAGGACGATTTTGATGCAAATCGAGTCATATATGAATTTATGAACGTGTATGCTCGTTGTTTTAGTGTTTGAATTATTAAAAATTATGTACTTCTCGGATTGCCTTGAAATTTGGAGGGTTGTGTCTTCTGTTGATTACAAGTCTTATGTAAAAATTTCATAATTTTTCACGACATGTAGCTATTTTTGATAATTAAAGTGATTTCTGGGTACAAAAACATATTAAATTAATAATAAATCAGTTTGTGCTCCAAAATTGATGAAGTTTTAGTATGTTGTCTCTCTGTCTGATTAGATGATGTGTAAAATTTTTAGCATTTTTGGACTAAGATTGATAGGGTAAATAATTTATTTGAGTATTATGCTGAAAGTTATTTTAATTATATTAAATTGGTCAGTTGCTGGAAAATTCTGATTTTTGGCCGAAGTGCTTGTTTTATGTGAAGTTTCATGCTGTAAAAAGATTGGAATTTTTTGAGTTCAAATTGTATCGGTTTTAATTAAAATTCAAAAACTACAGAAACTTGTATGTAATTGTAAAATTCGCGTATTGAATGTTAATAGGGAAAATTTTATAACTGCCCTATTTTAACAAAGACTTTACAAAACAGTTACTAGCCATACAAAATTCCCCATTTACTCCAAACATTAGACAAAAACAACCAGACACCAAAAAAAATAAAATAAAATTAAAATCAAATAATTAAAACAAAATAAGAACTGAAACGTTTTCAGCAAAAAAACTGAAAAATGATAATTTGAATTTGAAAAAAGAAAATTGTTTGACAGTTAACAAAGAAACACGAAAAAAACCATTGAAATCAAAACGCAAATAAAAAACAAAAAAAAAAAAAAAAAGAGAAGAAAGTTTGACAGTTCCAAGATTTCAAGTTCGCATATTCACACTAATGTAAAATCAAATTTGAGAAAAAAAATGCACACCGTTAAAAAAAGAATAATTAATATAAAGATGTGGATTATAAGGGTTGTTAAATGGTTGTGAAGTAAACTTACGTGTTTCAGAAAACCTAACATGGTATTTCGAATGTCGAGACATTCACGTTTTCTAGAATTGCAAAAATTGCTTCTTTTTTTTTAGTTGGGAAACTGATGGGAGCAAAAGGATAAAAAAAGAAGTAAAAATTGCTTTTTACTTCCTGGCACTTTCGTTTTTTTTTCTTTTTTAAAGTTAAGTTGTTTTCATGTTTTTTTTACTATTGCACTGTTGTTACTTTATTGTTATTTTATTAACTATCTCTTTGTTGTTGTTTCATTAACTATCTCATATAATCATTGTAAAACTTAATTTTGAAATATTTTATTATAAGTGAAAGTTGTTTTCAGATTGCTTGAGAAATGTTATATTGTTGTTTTATAGTTACTTTATTAATCCAATGCTCACTGTAATGAACACGGAGGGATATCATTGTTCTTTGTTGCTGCAAATTAAAAAAAAAATTATAATAGTAATAATCTTTGTTTGTTTAACAATGAACAAAACAAAACATGATTATCTTTCCAGTATGAACATCCAAAAACACACAAATAATTACTCATAAATATAATTATTTGTTGTGTTATTTTGAGTTTCTAAGAAGTTATCATTGTTCACTTGTTTGTTTGTTCTTATATTATTTAAACAATTAAAGTAATAATACTTTTCACGAACGTCTAAGACATCTCCATGCATAAATTTTTACAGCAATCGATCGAATCATGGTCTTCTTTCAATAAACAAATGCATAAGATAAGGAATTGTTGATTAATAATGTTAAAAAAAA